GCCACTCAGGGTGCCATAGGCCCCGTGGCTGCCTGGTCTCCGAAGGGATCACAGGCCACCAGTGCTCTCACAGCGGGGGAGAGCCAATCCCACCAGAGCCACAGCAGGGGGCAGACAGAGTTGGGGAGGCCAGGACGGCCGCAGGTGGGAGGGGATTTCTGCAGGGTGCCACCGGCCCCGGAAGCCCCTCCACCGAAGAAAAGGAGTGGACCCAGTCAGGGCACTCCAGAAGGGCGGAAGCACCCGTTTCCCCCGCACCCACCGAGGCAGTGGGATGAACCCCCAGAGAGACCCAGCGGTGAGGATCCGCCCGGCAAGGGGCGTTCCAAGGGCGGGCAGAACCGCCAGGGCAAGCAGCAAGCCCAGGGCCAGCCGACCAGAGGGTCGGACAAAGGACACACGGAAACTGCAGGGGGGACAAGCCCCACCTTCCCCTGGATGCAAGACACCCCGGAAAGACTGAGGCTGAGACTAAGGTGGACGCCACGTCCGGTGCCGGAGTCGTCGAAGCCGACCCTCATCCTGCTGCACGCGGGGAAGGATGATGCGGGGGCCCTGGATGCCTACCTCCATGCCTACAACCCGGCCTTCTCGGAGTACATTTGGGCAGTGGACATTAGGCGAAAGGGTGGCGATCTTGGACAGGACATGCTGGGAGACGAGCCGTACTCTACAATGTGCTCCATGGCCATGGCGGGCAAGGTCGCCTTTGTGGGGGGCGGCCCCAACTGCAGGATGTGGAGCAATGGTTCCCCAAACCGGGAGGAGGCCCGCCGCCGGTGAGGGGCAGGGCGGAGCAGACCCTGTGGGGCTTGGAGGACCTGGAGCCCCGGGTAATGGAGGACACGGACAACGACAGCGTGCTCATGCTCCGACAGATGTACCTGACCTCGCTGGCCTACCAAGGACTAGGTCAACTAACGGTCCCGCAGGTGGGCTCCTCCTTCCTGGAGCACCCAATGGACCCAATGAAGTGCAGCAAGAGCCCGAGCGCAGCGAGGTGCTCTTCGATCTGGGTCACACGGGCCTACATTCAATGGGCGAACGCGCTCCACCACTCCCTCATCAAGTTTGACGAGTGCCGCCTGGGCCAGGTGGTAGTGAAGTCCACGACATTGTCAACGGACCTTCCCCTTCACCATTGGCATGATCTGCGATGCAACCACGGAGCTCACCCCAGGGGGGAAAAGCTCAACTCCAGTACCCAGAGCAGATGATGCAGGGTCTCGCGGCGGCCATTTTCTGCAGAGCGGGACCAGTCCTGGAGGCGCTGAAGCCGGGGGGCACGGTGCCCCAAGTGAACCCAACGACCCCCCCAAGGCGGCAAAGGGAACCATCTCCTAGCACGCCGGGGGACAACAAGCGCCAGTCCCTGAGGCTAAAGGCCGGCCAACAAGCGTTGGCAGGACTAACCCTGGGCTCACTTCCGGTCTCGGCCTCAGACAATCCTGCGGTCCGGACACCAACACAGCCGGCTGGCAGGACGGTCGAACTTCGGGGTGAAACTCTTCCCCTTCAGCCATGGGCGCACCATTGCATGGAGATATCGGATCGGCCCACCACCCTGCCGATCACGCACGACCCAAATCTCTCCGACGAGGTTATGTACCTCCAGATGGCCTTCAAACAGCGCCCCCTCAGGGACGGGGGTGGGAAGCCCTCACTTGGACGGTTGGCCCCGTGGACGAGGCCACTGTCCAAAGCAGCAGCGTTGGGGGCCAAGATCTGTGTCCTCACGTCGCCATGGAGGGACAAACTCCAGGAGTCGCTCTCGTTGGGGGACGGGTCACACCCCTTCCCGGAGGATCTGCTGGAAGATATCAGGGAGATTCTGGCGCCAGGGGCAGGACGACCAGCGGAAGGCCAGCCCTTCTTCCTGGACATCTTGCACAGCCTGGCGCTGAACATTCAGGACCCCGACCACCAGTTTCCTCGGGATCTGGAACAAGGGGTCCCACTGGGGGTCACGGACCCACCCCTAGCTTCGCCGGGCATCTGGCCACTCAAGAAGGAGCTAAAAGGGGAGGAGCCGGAGTTCCACAAACTCCCTCATCCGCCGTAACTACCCCTCAGCGGATCACTTCAGCGAGCTCATCCGTAGCACATTCCTGGAGGAGGTCCCCATGGGCATGGTAGATGGCCCTCTCACCAAGGTAGAGGCAGCAGCGCGCTGTGGCTGCAATATGGAGGATCTTTGTCCAGGCCCCCTAGCGGGCATCGACGAGGGGGACAAGATCCGCACCATCTACGATGGCTCGGTGGGCGGGGCCAATGACACCATCAGGAACCAGACGGTGGAAAGGACGACGGCTCCGACGGTGCTGGATGGGGTACAAGCTCTTCATTGGCTACATGCGGCAGCTGAGGAGGGACCTCCCTCTCAGGGTGCCCCGGCCCCGAGAAGGAGGTCGCCAAATCTCCACCCGAGGGCTGGCTATGGCCGGAGCCGGGCACCAGGTGGGTGCTGCTCAAGGCGGACGTCACCAAGGCCCACCGGAGAGTGAAGGTCCTCAGAAAGGACTGGCGGTTCCAGGTGGCTTCACTGGGGGAAGAATGGTGGGTGAACAAGGTAGGCACATACGGCATGGCCAGTGCCCAATCCTACTGGGGACGCCTGGCAGCCCTTCTACTCAGGGTCCTCTACGCACTTTTCCCTCAAGTGGATTGGAACTTCGTCTTTGTGGATGACTTCCTGTGGCTGCTTCGCAGCGAGGGGGCAGTAAACTTGGCGGTGGCGCTGTTGGCAACACTCCTGGCCTTGGGCACCCCGCTTAGCTGGAAGAAGACACATTTGGCGGAGGTCAACACGTGGCTGGGCTTCGTGGTCCACCCGAACATCCCGCAGGTTCTCATGGCCGCCAACAAACACATCCTGGTGATGGAGGTCCTGCAGACCATGGTGGAAGGGCAGGCGATGCACTCAAAGGACATCGAGAAGGCCCTGGGCCGCATCCAATGGGCAACTGCGGCATGTCCGCTGGCGAAGTCGATGCTTCAACCATTGTGGGCCTGGAAGATGGCCACCACCACGGTGGGGAAACCCCCCAAGGTGGTCAGGATGCTGGCGTTCATGCTGCGGTTCCTCTTCAACACGCCCTTCGTCCAGTACTCCCCTTACTTGCCGAAGTCCTCTTGGTGGGGTTGCAGCGATGCTAGCGCCTCGGACGAAGGACTGGCATTTGTGGGAGGATGGTGCTCCAACAAAACGGAGCCGGAAAAGAAGGAGGTGTACTGGTTCCACGAACAGATCCACGTGGAGGAGTACCCTTGGGCATTCAAGAATGGGGATCCCAAGCGGAGGATTGCGGCTTTGGAAATGCTGGGCACGCTCTTCCTCTGTAACATGATCCTCACGCACCAAGGCCCTCTGTCCTCCCGGGTCCGACTCCCGGTGGGCAGTGACAACCAGGGCAACGTCATGGCGATGCTCAACCTTGGATCCAAGAAGCCCTATACCGCGGCTATCCTGATGGAGCTGGTCTTCCTGCTCCACACCCATGGCTGCTCGCTGGCGGCCAACCACGTGCCCCGGGAATTCAACCAGTGGGCCGATGAGCTGACGCACCCAGATTTCTCTGGGTTCGACCCTTTGCACAGGGTCCCTAGACAGGAACTCTGCGAGGAGTTCGTTTTTCTCCCGCGTCTCCTGAATGGAGATGCATTTGATCTCAGCGTGACCCCCCACCCATGCTCCCGTGACCGGAGCCGGTGGGTGACTCACTTCCCCTGGTGGCAGACCCCCCTGTGGCCTGGGTGCCCCGGGCCCCGGCTCAGGGGCGGGCGCTATCAGCACACCGTTCTTCAGTTTTTGAGAGTTTGTGGTGGGTGGCCCATGGGGCCCACCCAGCCGTTGACATCTGACAGGGGAAGATGAGTCCCTGGCACCAACACATTGCTCGGATAAAAGAGTTATCGCTTGCATGTGTGGTGCCGTTTGGTTAGCTTACATACACTTATCTGTCTTTCTATCTATCTATCTGTCTATCTTTCGATCTATCTATCTATATATCCATCCATCCATCCATCCATCCATCTATCTATCTATCTATCTGTCTGTCTGTCTGTCTATCTATCTCTCTATGTCTCCTCATCTTTTTAAATTTCTTTCAAAATGTCAAAATATCAATCACCCGTCTATCGATCCATCTGTCTACCGTTCTATCGATCTGTCTAGTTAGCTAACGATCTATCTTTCCGAGAAAGCCCGCCCAGTGCGTCCGTCGAGCCCGTTCTCCCATTAGGTTGAGCCCGTCACACACGCGAGGCCCGTCAAGCCCTGAAGCCGTTGGGCCGTCAAACTCGTCAAGCCCGTCAGGCATGTTGGGCTCGTCAGGCCCGTCGGGCCCGTCAGGCCCGTCGGGCCCGTCGGGCCCGTGAACGGTGAGCGGCCGCTTCTCGTTTCATGGGCAAGGCGAGGGGAGGCTTGAACCAAAACCCACAGCTTTCCTGTATAGGAGAGTGGGTGAGACAGGGGAGAGAGACCCCGCTGGAACAGGCACAGGTAGCCATTTGCACAGACTCAGTTAGTTTTGTGTTGTTGCTGTTCTCCCCCAAACTGGCACTACCCAGCTTGGCACTTGAGTTCTCCGCTGGTTGAGCCGGGAAATTCTAGCACCCCGTTGCACACAATAAATGCTGAAGTGCATAGATGTATCAGATTACGAGGCCTAGCAGGACATTCCAGTCAGGCTTTGAGATCACGGCTATGACCAATCTTTGTTCGAAGCTGTGTAGAGGCCGAACCATCTCTCAAGCCAGACAATAGGTGTGCCTCTAGAGCATACGCGGTTTCTTTCTGTGTGGAAATTTACAAAGGGGAGTCGTCACACCCATCCGGAGAGCATATGCAGTCGGCGATGCCAGTTTTCAATCTCTCACGACGGCCGTTTGATACTTGAGGGTTTGAATGGGGTACCATGCACCTGGTAAGCATAAAGAAAGGGCGGCGCCATCCCAAATTGGGATCCTTCCTTGAACAAGCCCTTACTTGTCAATGCGAGGAGCAGGAGTCGCTTCTGCAAGCAGAGGCGGGCGAAATTTACTGGAGTGGGCCCCTTTTAATTGAAAGCCCTGGCCAATGCCCTGTGGTTCCATCCTTGTCCCATTGACGTGCGCTGGGTCGGGGGGATTTTTAGGGTCAGTACTTTTAGCATCATGCAGAGTTTTGGTTGCGCATTCCTCACTCTCAGCCCGAGGTTCTAGAGAAGCAGAGGCTCCTCCAGCAGGCCAAGCTTGAGCTGGTCGAGGCGACCCGATGTCCTGTGGCATGGAGCGACTTCATAATGTGTGTCCGTCTTCTTGGCGTTTTATTTCGAAGCTGTGGATATGACGCATGACAATGATCGTGTAAGACTTGTTGGTAAGAGCAACAAGTGGAATGGACATGTAGATTTCTTTTTGTGTTATTTGCCTGAGTTGTTTTGCGCCCGCAAACCCATGTCAATCGCTCGCACTTGCCGCACTTGCCGCACTTGCCGCACTTGCCGCACTTGTCACATCATTTGTTTCTGACTTTCCATGCATTTGGACCTCTCAAAACCATGGGGGGGCAGGATCTCGGGCTGGGGTTTGCCCTTGTTTTTTAAGACCTCTTCGTAGGGTTTTCTGCCGGCAAGACAGAATTCAATGGGAACTCTGCAAAGTTGTTGGTGATTCGAGGCCAGGATCTCTTCATAGCTTGTCAGGAGGAAAACAAACAACGCACACCCAGCCTTGGATCGAGGCCAAGGAAGCAGATTCCAAGGCCAAGTGTGCAGGTTCCTTGTTTGGTTCGATTAGGGTCCGGCAAAGGCCGGTTGGTTTGTTGGAGCCAACACGCTGCTGAAATATTTATTTTAAGGCTGTGTCACAGAGGTTCAAGAGACAGAGAGAGAGAGAGAGAGAGAGAGAGAGAGAGAGAGAGAGACAGAGAGAGCGAGAGAGAGAGCGAGAGAGAGAGAGAGAGAGAGAGAGAGAGCGGAGAGAGAAGTCGCTTTCAGCCTTCATGTCCGTAGTGCCAAATTTCAACAAAACCAACTGGAAAGGACGGGGGGAAGCCGATCATTGTAAGCATGTTGCATGTGTGCATTGCGCTGGAAGGCTCAGAGAATCTACGATGAGGAGCAGGCCGGGTTTTGGGGTTGCGCCTCGATTTGTCTTGTAAGTAGCCGGAGGTGAAGGAAGATGGTGTCTGACGCCGTGTGTCAGTTTTCCAGGGTCCCCGCTTCTCCTTTTCTTGTGGCTTTAAAGGAACACCGAAAGGAACACAACCTATTTCGGGGGCTCGCTTATTTTGAGACAAACCCATACATTGCAGCGGTTGATCGACTTGTTGAATCCTGCACACCACTGCTTTGACGGGAAAGGATTTGAGGCTAAGGACTCACCCGTGGAGAAGGCCCTTGCTCTGCTTGAAAATTATTGCTGGTCAGCGAGACGTTGTGCTTCACCCAAAACGCTGGAATGTTGATGAATGCAATGACTTGCCATCGCGCTTCACTTGCACCCTTGATATGGGTGTGGCTCGGTACCAAAATGGAACCCTGGTAAGTGGCAACATGAACCAAAACTTGCGTAACCCCTCCTGGTTAATTTTGAGCCACACCCATATGTACTCCTCAATTCAGCTTGGCTTAGGAATCCAGTGAAGCGATGACGAAGATGAAGGCGGAGACCAAGGACAAGTGCTACATGAAGGCGCTTGGCTGGGGCGCGACCAAACGGCCCGACACGTGCTGTAAGGGCTGCCAGGGAGGATGGCATGCCGCAGGTTGGACCTGCTTTTTTTGAAGTGGGGCGTCTATTGGAAAGTGTTTTTTGCTCATTATATTGCTCAGTTTCATCCTACTGAAGCAGCCCCAACCAGTAGGGTTTATTGGAGTATTTTTCTAATTAGCCCACTTTAACCCTACTGAAGCCCCAACCCTCCTGGTGCTCTATATAACCAAGTCTGAGGTCCGAGGCTTGTATCTACTTCAAATGAAATTCAACACCAATCCTAAACCCACTCCAAGCCCAATTGAAATGCCACCCTGAGCTCGTCCTCAAATCAAGGCGGAGGATTCGCAACCCTCTCCAATCCGAACCCGAAGGACCTGCAAATCGCCTCGCGAACCGCTGCTTTCTGCCGCTTGGGTTGCCGCTACTTCGGCTTTCGACCGAATGGCGAATGGCAGACCATCGAGTACTCCATGCGCAAGGAGGACCAGCAGAAGGAGCGCGAGGCGATCGCTTCAGCGGTGACCACCCTGAAGCAAGAGGCGCCGAGTTCGGGGCGTCGGCGGTTTCTCAAAATAGGCATGGGTTCCCCCTAAATGCCAAAGGTGTTTTTTCGGATCCCTTGAACTACCAACCAAACGTGGTCCACCATTTTGAGAAACACTCACCCCACAAGAAGAAGGATAATAATAATCATGTTGGAATGTGATATATATATATATATTTGAAGCTCAAGGGGCTTCCTCGTTTGTGGGTGACAGCAGACTTTATGCGTAGCACGTAGAAGCTCGGGGCCTCTTTAATTTTGGCAGGGTGCTTGCTTTGTTGATTGGGCTCCCTGAGGCATTGGGGCACTCTGGGACTTTCAAAGTTGTCCCTGGGAACATTTGGCAGTGGAGCTTTTCACAGAGATTTCCAAACCAAAGAACACATCGCCTTTGAGTTTGCTTCAAGAGCCCTGCACAGGAATCTGGGGGCAAGAATGCCGCCGGAGCGACGTCCTTCCTGCAGGACTGGGTGACTTGCTGCGGCGATTGCAAGGTAAGCTAGGCCTCAACCCAAACCACTGCCCCTCATAAAAGTCAGAGTTAGAATCTCAGTCTAGCCACTATGCAAAAAAAGTTATATTCTCTGAGGGGTTTATCATGGTTTGGATGTATATAGTGGAATGTCTCCAAGAAGTGTGTTTGTGTGTGTGTGTGTGTGGGCATGTGTGTTCGGGCGGGCGGGCCGGCGAACGGGCGGGCGGGCGGGCGGGCGGGCGTGTGTGCGCGTGTGCGTGCGTGCACGACCACTCCATGTTGTAAGTTTGCCCTTGTGCCTTTTGAAAGCCACAAAGGTGTAGGAGTGGATTTGATGTGTTCGTCTCTTTGTCCAGAAAAAGCAACATCAAACCCTCAGGACGCTTGAGCACCCAGGCCCCTAATCCAAGCCTGCAATTCTCAGGGTAGACCTTGATGCCCTTTCGATTATTTCTGTAGCTTGATTGATTCCGACACAACTTGCGTACGAGTTGACGCTGCTTTGGTCAAATGCAAAGTTGGTGAATTTCTGGTACCGTCATTTGGCACCAGATGAACTCCGCGCACAAGACTCGCTCGGATGATAAGCGGGACACAGTGCGCAATGCTGCTGCTCGAATGCAGAAAAAAGGGCACAGTTGGCCTGGACGGATACCAGTTTCTGTTGATGTTGCTTTGCCAGCCTTTGTGTTCAACATTGTGTTAAATTTGGATGCTTGCGTTTGCAAGCGTCAACATATTCTAGGCATCATTGCCGAGAAGCGATGGAAACACGTGGCTCACAAAGTTCTTTGGAGGTGACGCCGTGCCTCACCTGTCCTGTAGATTGACAATGATTGAAACTCAATCAAAACAGCCAACATGTGGGTGGGTCCTGGTAGGATTCCATTATTTTTGCAGGGGGCTATGACTATTCCAAGTCCAAATCCAAGAGCCAACTTTGAGTGAGGACGATGTAACAGAATGAAGACCGCCTTCAAAGAGTTGGCTTTCTCCTTCCCTTCCACAAGCGACATGGATGGGTACAGGAATATGTTCCTTTAACCGGCGAAGCCGTCTTCCGAAAGGGACATTTGTGCACCAAACCCCGTGCCATCTCAGTTTTCCAGGCTGTCCCCATTTGGCAGCTTCCCATTTGTGGTGCCACCAATCCCTATCCCTTGGCAAGTGCAGAGGGAATGATCAGCAGTCCGTTCGACAGAGGATCGTCCAGCTGGGAGCCCCCAATTTCGAGTCCATGGCGATCCCAGGGGCTCATGACCATCCGTGAACCGCTGCGAAATCTTCGAGAGGTCACCTTGAACATTGCGTCCGCCCAGCCCCCGCTTTCCGCTTCCGTTTGCCTTCACCTTTTCAGCCGGCTTTGGATCTTCACCCGGCTTAGGACGGCTTCTGCATCCGACATTTGGACCCCAAACGCATTCCAAGAAGTTGGTTCCTGGATGCTCGGGCTTTTTCCTGGATTCCAAAAAGTTGGTTCTTGGATGCTACGTTTGCTTCCTCTGCAAGCTGCCCGTCTCTTCGAATTTGGGTCAAAGACATGGGCACCCCGAGGTTGCATTGATGCAGCACCAGACCAGGGCCAAAGCTGCTGGCATGGGCAAGGCGGCCGAGGTGCCCTCGACATCCGAAGAACCGATGAAGGGGATACCTCGTATACGTGATGTGGGGGTTGAAAAAAAACAAAAACGTAAAACATGGGATGACCATTGCTTGGATAACCGCTGAAAATATTTGATATGTCTCCCACTAAATGGGGAAAGTTACCCATGGTCATTTGGGGGCCCGAACGGAATATTGATCAACCCCCATGTGGGTGTTTCTCAAAATTGGGGACCCCTCCAGGTAGGTGGTTTCCTTTTAGTATCCCTTGAACCCTCATCCAAATAGAGTCCCCGATTTTGAGAAACACCCAGGTATGCACGATGCATACATGATGTATATACGTTACAAACGACATCATGTATACATGTGCTGTTCATGTCTTTTTTTGCTAATGGCAGAAAGCTCACAAAAGATTCGGGTGTGTAACAACCAAAGGCATTCCAGTGTTGCTAAAACTTCGGCATGGTGCATGTTCTTCAAGCTTTATACCACTTGGTGATGCGTGTCTCCATGGATTGCACTTCGTGTAACACGTGGCTGATGCTGGGATCCAACAATGTTCACTTGGTACTTCATGTTGCAGCTGGCTATGCATTGCCTAAAACGCTGTCCCAGGTTAAACATGCCACCCCCAACCACCCCAGCCCCGAACCACCCCAACCACCCCAACCACCCCAACCACCCCAACCCCCCAACCCCCTAATCACCCAACCACCCAACCACCCAACCACCCAACCACCCAACCACCCAACCACCCAACCACCCAACCACCCAACCACCCAACCACCCAACCACCCAACCACCCAACCACCCAACCACCCAACCACCCAACCACCGGCACCCTGTTGGCCCTCCAAGGTTTTTCCCCTCGAAGCCGAGAGTTGCCTTTCTACTCCTGCTGGCCAGGTCAGCCCCAATCTTTCCAGATCACACCCTCAGATTTTCCAGAACATCCAGATTGTCATGGGCTTACCCTCAGACATCTCGAGGTCGGTTTTGCCCCGCCCACACAAAACAATTCGGGCTTGCCTTCGATTTGGTTGTTGGACCGCAAGGGGTGTATCCTCATCCAGCATGAGCCGTGGTCGATCCCTACCATTTCAACCATCTAGAAATGATCGCGCAAACCTTTGGAGGCACACTTTGCAAAGGGCACCCTCGTCGCTAACTGAGAGGAGCAACAAGTGGGGAGGTGCTGCGAAGGTCTTGTGTGCAACTTGTGGCGGCTCAAGAGGCATGAAAGTCCACATGAGCTTGTCCCCAGTCAGAAAACTAAACACAGGTGTGGCTTCCCTTTGCTTTGCCATTGACACAAAAGTCACACCCCAGTTCCTTCCAATGCAGTATTCCTGATTCAGCAAGATTCATCACGACAATCGCATCATCACGGCATGCCAAACCAAGGCATGATCAACATCTTGGAAGTGATGCATTCAAACATCAGGGCAAATCCTGCAACTCCTCGTCCTTGCGACTCGTCGCATTGTTGTTCCCCGGAAATTTCTTCTCAGCCTCTGGTTGCGAGCAAGGCTCAGTGTGTCAGTTTCTGAACCTTGCTGGTGCTCTGTAGGGAATGGCCCAGAGTTTGGGATTGAACTCGGGGATTCCCTTAAAGGAAGCTATGGTTTTTTCAGGGTTATTCCAACTCATTCCCTGCTGAGAACCCGCAAGGAACTCCTTGGAGTTGGTTGGGTTTGAGCGGCGGCGCAGGCTGTTCTGGGCCTCATTGACGCCATCAAGAGCCACCAGGCGGAAGATTCCAAGAGGCCGGGTGGTTGGGTGTATTGCTGCTGTCATGGGCTTTTGCGGGTTTTTATATGTGTGTTCACTTAAATGGAAATGCATGCTTTGTTTTAGAATTATATACAAAACACCATACTGTTGGCTGGATCGTTATTAGGGGAAGAAGCTGGACGTATTGTAGGCAATTTATGTTCTGGTGTAGTTTAGTAGAGTTTAAGACACACAAGGGATACCACGCAACTCCAAATCTTTGGTATCGTTCCCGGCAGACACACTTGGCTTTGCTTTTGACATGACCAGGCACACACACACACACACCCCAACCTGTGTCCTTCCCAGGAAAAGGTT